GCCATACAAGCATATCTTTTAAATTTTCGTGAACATCACAAACTCTGCATATGTGTGTATAAATGACAGCCTAGATTAGAAAATTAAGCTGTGAGAGTCGAAGGCGGTAAACAGAATTTTCAGATAGATTTAAACAAACTGATTGTTTTATATCACCCAGAATATATTTACTGTCAGCTTTAGAGGAATTTACTCTACTTTTAAGTTCCAAAAATTCTCAAATGTTAGTTTGTGTGGATTTGATTGCTTTCAAGTTTAATGACAGATTGATATCGACTAGAGAAGCATTGAAGATCAGGAAGTGCTAGACAGCTGATTCCTTCTAGTTTGAGGTTCTTCGCACTATAATTCACTGATTGACAGAATTAGAATTTTCAAGTATTGGTTTTGTAGGGATTTTGTTTGATTGCATGGAGGATTTAATCATAAGCTTACATCAGTTAGAGAACCACTGGAAAACCTGGGAGTACTGGACAGCCGTTTCGTCCTAGTTTGGGACTCTTCAGCAGTACGCACCAACCGGGATTCGAACCCAGGACCTTCTGGTTACAAGGCCAGCAAGCTCGTAGACCACTGAGCCACTGGGACCCGATCCAATGGCCCATGAATTCTAACTTCTGCCAATTCACGAATAGCGCGACCACTTCGCACTGTCTTCTTCGATGAGTTACTGCCTCATCTTCAACCTGCTGTAGCCTACTGGTCACGGCTTCCCACTAGAACCCAGGTTAACTGCCTGAATAGGGCCAGTGACTAGTGAGCACAGATTAATTTTCAAGTATTGGTTTTGTAGGGATTTTGTTTGTTTGCATGGAGAATTAGAATTCGCAGATCATATGATTCCATCCTAGCGGCTGAATGGTCAGTGAGCTCGACTCATAACCTGAAGCTCCTGGTGTCAATCTCTGGAGAGAGTCATTGGTTCATACCGGTAAAAAGTCACAAACTAGGACGGAACAGCTCTCCTCTACACCCTGGTTTCCAGTAATTTGTCACTGAGTAGTAGAGTGTACATAGTTATTATCAAATTTCAACATTTTCATAGTTTTCATTTTAATATTGTCTATCTTGGTAGATGAATATGAGTAGATGTTTTGGTGCCTATTTCTTTCTGTTCATAAGAAGCTAGTTGTCTTTGCTTGTATTGCAACCAGAATGTCATCACTTCAGCTGGCAAATCTGAAAGTAAATGAAACGCTAAATCGTAAATATATAGCAGCAATTAACAGCTTCTCTATAACTTATTAGTTCGATATGCATAATTCTTGTTATTCCTCTCGTCGTCTTATAAATTCACACTATTATCCACTACACATCCCTGTCCTTAATTTGTTGGATGTTTTCCTTTTAGCCTTTTAAGTCACAACTTAAACTTAACTGAGTTATTGTGACTTAAAGCTACTCTCTCTCTCTCTCTCCCTACAGATAAAAGAAAGAGAACAGATGTTAACTAACTGTGAGATAATTTACGTGCGTGTCTGAGTGTGGAATTCAAGTGGATACTTAATTTAAGACATCCTCAAATTTCTAACACTTAATACGCATATACCTTTTTCCTCGTGTAATCAAATACATACAGCATACTGATTCACACACACTGATATCTTTTTAAGTGTGTAGGCAAACAATGTATGCTCAACGTACAAATTTTGTTCTTTTTTCAAAACAAAAAAGAGGAGAAATTAGGAGAACAGAAGCTCATTCAAATTAATTACTTTTCTTACTTGTAAAACTTGATATATACTTCTTCTCGAATCACGTTTCAATGGTCAGGTCAAAAGACTAAATGTTTTCAAAACCAATTTCTGCAAATTAAATCACGAAATACTCAACAGAAAAATAGGTATTTTCTTTAAAAGAATTATGATTACTGGAAATAGCTTCTATTATCATTAATGCTTTGCTTTTTATATGCTTAACTAGAAATTATGAAACCCTTTTTGAGTAAATTGTACCACTACCTGATCGAATGAACCATTGTTATCAGATACACGATCGATTTCTCACTTTCAAGCGGTGATTAAATGCTATTAATAATAACGATATATGATATAGCGGCAAATATCTGTAGCCTAGGTTTAGTTGTGTTGAATATTTCTGTTGCTTTGCAGCCTTAATTACTGTCTACGGATCATCTTTAGTGTGCCTTTATTGTTCCTTTTCCACTTTCTGGGGCAAATATAACAGTGTGTGATAAAAATACTATGCAATTTTCTTTAGAAACCAGAAATATTCAGATGATATAACATGACATGCCTGAAAACATAAGTGTTGTTAAGAAAGTGTAAGATATTGTAAGATGAATAGTAATACCAATCAGTGGTATATACTGACTTGCAATTTTGCATACTTTATGGATACCATTTACAGGTCACATATTGTCCCAAAGGAAGGTGAAATTTCACCTCGAACTATGTACTTCACAGTTGACGAATTCGATTCCATATATTATCACTGCGCCCATGTAGATATTCCAAATTTGGATGGTTTGAATAGAATCACTGCAGGCACACTCACGATGGGGTTAGATCCTCAAGGAATAAAATTTCTGTCAGTTGTTTAGATTACTCCGACCTGGCTGTTTACCTGGCTATTTAATGATTGACATGAGTGGTTTTAAACTTCCGGCATCAATAAGTAGTATCCACCATGAAACGAATACAGCCGGCTCACTTTTGTGAAGCAATGAACTAATCCAATATCATAAAAGGAAGATGACTGATATTACAAAGCTTAGTTAACTTAGTTTTTAGAATTCTGATACTCTATACCAGGTATATAATTTTCAAAGCCATGCAATAAAAGAGGTTTGTACAAATAATTCAAAAGTAATTAGTTTAAAAAGTCTCAGTAGCTGCTGACTTCGGATGAAAAACAACATCAGTCAAAGCTCTTGCTAGCTTTCCCGATATCACAGTAAATTTGACTCAAATCATATCCGTGATGATTCAGAATACACAATGTCTCAATGAACTCCAAATAAAATTTGAATATCTGGAATAGCATTTGTTTCGAGGGTTATGAGTTTCTCAGTTTTCTTTATTGTCTACTACACTGCTTTTAGGTAACCTCAGTTTTCAACTCTTTGTGGAGACTTTGCAGTGACTTCATTATTACTGAAGCAATATTCGGAAATAAAATGTATTTTTCAAATGTGAAATAAGATTATGTTTTTGTTTAAACATTCACGCAGAATGCTTTCCCTAGGTGATTAATCAAGCCATGATGAGATTCGTACATTTAATATAGTGAGAAACCGATCAAAATCCTATTATCATGGGAGAGTTATCGGTGTCTTTCTTTTAATTTGTCCTATGATTTATATTGGAACCACTGACAGCTACAAAATATTGCATAGTAAGTCAAATCACAGACCACCTTTTCTAAATAATACAAAGTGTCGTGCGAAAACTTTAGTTTATACTATCCTGTGGGATATGAGAAAGGTATTTATGTCACGTGATTATATACTAGATAATACTCTAGAATAAATAGCTAAAATTCACAAAAATATTTCATGTGACAACTGTTTTTTCGCAGTATAATGAGACCTGATCGCTGAAACTTATATCAATGTAGGCGATAATTTGATTTCATTGACTATCGTCATTGTTTTCATCTTCAAGAATATTGGTATGTATTTGTTGTGTTTAGCCTGTAGTTTTGTGTTTACCTTACTTTTATGCTGTTATTTTCAGCTGCTTTTGATTTCATGGGAAATTTTATCAATTCATGTTTACTTCTGTGTGACCCAATAAAAAATAATTCTGCTAATCACCTGCCTTCATCCTGCCAACTTGATCTGTTTGTTATTGTTGTTGTTATTATATTAGTGATGTTGGGTAGTGAACACTGTTATGATTATTAACCCTGAAAACACACACGCACTTACACAAACACGCTCATTTGAATATTATTCACCTTGATACCACCACCACTGCCGAAAAATCATACAATGCAGGGATTTTGTTTTTTGGGAAGTTGCTCTGGTAATAAAAACAGTCACAAAAAAATCACAACTACAACTGACATTGGCATGATTAATTTTCCTGTCTCCAAAATCGTATTATTGTTTTATTGTAATTCCTCTTTGTTCTGTCAGTTCCTACACCAGCCCCACAAAAAATCTTAAGTCGTAATTTGTGGCAATACAGATAACTAGGTTTATGTGTTTTGTGTCCGTTCGCTAACATCTGGATGTTTATTGTGTTTATCTTTATGAAATGTCTTGGCTTCATATTGAAAACAAAAAATCTCACTCATTTTGACAGGCTTTTTATGCTTATATTGATAGACGTCAGTATTCAGTGAATTCCACAGTTTATGCGTAAGTGGAAATCATTTACAAATATTTGTAGTTATTTTGATTGTCTTCTGTTAGTGTTCCTTCTCTTCGACTTATTGAGTCAAACAACTATAACTTATACATGCAAAACAGAATGACGGCACCAGATAAATAATCATTTTGATTTTTTTAAACATTGTCATAAAACCACATGTATGTAAATGGAAACAAGGACTTCTTTAGCCGGTGAGGAATAATGGATATATACAGCGGTGGATGTTTACACATTGAACAAATTCTTAAGCAGAGGTAAGAGAAATGAAGAGCCGACGAGGATAAGGCCGAAAGATAAATCCTTATTATGCTAGCTTATCTTCTACTTACTGTTTACATTGTTATACTTAGATTGTTTACGTTTTAAGGCGGCACATTATAATTTATAATCTATTCTTAAATATGTACACTATATTCAGTTGTGAAGATTTTTAAAAAGAAATGAATGAACATCGGTACATGCGTTATTTGCGTATAAGCATTCAACTGTACACAGAGAACTACAAAGAAAATATCAGGCATACTAATCATTCTGTAGTAAACATAAAAGCGGACTTTTACTCGTTTATAAATAATGATTATTTATAAATCATTTTTCATTTCTGTGTCTTGAGTTCTACTGTTGCGTTGATATAAACCGTTCAAGTTTCGTTTCCATTTCAATTGCATTGTTATGTATTAAGTAAAGCTGGAATAGAGAGGTAGTGTATTTTTATTATATTTGGTTTATTTTATAACAAAGTTCAGAAAAAGTCTCACACTGTTCTCTTTGGTCAGACTTCACAGTGTTCTTCCTTTCCACCTCCTAAGTATTGCATCATAGAAAGTCTAAGCATGAAGACTGAAGCCATGATATCCTAAGCCAAAAGGTTTTCAAAACAAAGTTAACAGTACGTCTTTTATCATTTTAACATGCATTGAAAAACTTAGTTTCTAATGTGTAAATAAGAAACACTTTACAGAAACGATAACAAAACTAAGAGAATATTTTTGAGAGTCTCTAAAAGATGGTTATATCTCATAACGTATTGTTGTGATTTAAAGTGAATGTCACAGAAATTTTGGCGTTGAACTGTTAGGTGAGATTGCATCTTTAGGATGTTCGATTTTTTAGTTTTTATATTTTTAAATCGGTATTGCATACATCGCTACTTAAATCTATCTATTTCACTGTCTGGTAGACGAAAGCTAGAGCAGTAACTTTAGGTATCTTCATTGTAGTCACAAGTAAACGAATAATCAATAAATGATGTCATTTGTTCTTTCACTGAGAAAAGACTTATCATGATTTTTCTGAAATATAATGTTAATGTTCGCCAACTTTCCCCTTAAAACCTAAGTTGGCGAACAATTCATTGAGACATAATAATGTATGTTGAAAATGTTAATTTAAAAACATTATTATAATTATGAACTTCTTGAAATATATTCATTTAAACAGATGATGGAGAACTGCCCAACAGTGTATAGATTCAATGAGACATCTTAGTCATAAATTTCACATATGAAAATTATATAATTTTCGTGATCACAGTCAAAAACAAAATGGCTAAGTTATACATTTAATTTAAAATCAAGAGTCTATTAGGTAATTCAAACTGACTTAATACTTTTGTTGTGTTAAATGATTATGGATTACTGAGTAAAGTGAAAGGAATGCAGTAATTTATTATTTGTTCCATTATGGAATTAAATGCAAAATATTCATAAGTAATTCATTTGATCAACTTTCGCTTGGTATTCAACTTGAAATATTGTCCTAATAACTTTATTGTTCGCATGTAATAATCGGCAGAATTTATATTGTAGTAGTCATTGCATTCTCTGCAGTCAACTTCCAGAAACAAATTGCACATTACGGATGATGTTACAAACATCTTTCATTTATTTGCAAATGCTCAGTTGAATTGTAAAACATAAGGAAGAAGATGAGATGATATACTGATAAATAAAATCCATTTGGAAATTTCTCAACATGTGACGGTATGAATATCACTGTCAAATATTTGACTTCCAAAAAAAACTACAAATATCCGGTATCCTTCTACTTCTTTGATATACAGTTCTAGAGTACTGCGTGTTCTTCGAAAGATTGAATACTTTAATTTGACTTCTACATAGTATCTGGAGACTTGGCTAGATTACAGGCGGAAAATGGATGTGATGTACTTGAGCTAGATTTGACTATTGTCTGAAAAGGTGCTTCTAATTTAGGCCTCTTAATCACTTGTGTATCATCATCATACTGTTTGCGTTTCATTTCATCACGTAAAGAAGATAAGGTCGATGGAGAGTGATGTGGGTCATATTTCAAGTTAAGTGGGGTCGCCCATTTATGAAGTGGCTCAGAAATGATATCACCGTTGATTTTTCTAAAATTTAAATAAGTAAATTTAACTCTTTGAATTTATGTTTTATTCTGTTGAAGAGTAAAAACAATTTGCTTAGAATTCAAAAATTCACAGAACAACATGCACTGAATTGGTTTCGGTTTTCTAAAAATGTAATTTTTGAAAAAAGTATCTCGTAGTCGAAATGTTTTCATGCATTACCACTTGGCATTACTTGAGCGGAAAAACTAATATTGAGTACTGAGATCAAGATAAACATCATGTATAGGGAGCATCATTATGGTGGAAAGAACTTAAAAACAGGGAAGATACGTGTAATAAAAACTTCTCTTGAAAAATACCGTCTAAAGCAGCTTCTATCAGTACATCTGTTTACATTCTTTTCTTTGTAAGAGAGAATTGCGAATACATATGTTCAAATGCTAATTTTGATTTTAAGTAATAATTAATAGCTTCCCTAAATATTTAGAATAACTTGGTAAAAACTTAAGAAGTACAGATGCATCAACTTGAGCAAACGCTGAACGGGTATGCTTCATGTCCAAGGAATGACACCTAAAAATAAACACTGTATCACTTTTAAAATTGACTGTATCCAAAACGTCGAAGCGACATTTACAGAAGGTTTCAAATACACTTTATGATACTGTAATAGCAGAGAAGACTTGATGTTTAGGATTAAGGTGACAATACTTTGACTGCAAATGTTTCACCATTGATTTCACATAGAAATGAAGCACTTTAAAGGTCATGAACATTTGTTTTTCATTCATTGGGAAATACGAAAACCAATGATCTTCCTGATTGCAATTGACTGGATAATGCGACAGACAACGGCAACCAACGAGGGAACAGGCATAAAATGGACTGACACAAAAGACTTGGAGGATCTGGATTTCGCCGATGATATATGTCTGATTTCCCATAAACTGGAAGATATGCAAGTGAAAAGTAACAAGTTGGCAGAAGAAGCATCAAAGATAGGACTTCACGTGAACATAGATAAAACAGAGATAATGAAGATTCCTAGCCAACATCAACAGCAACAACAACAACAGACAACAATAAGCATAAATGGGAAGAACCTGAAAGAAACAACCTCCTTCAACTACCTGGGAAGCATCGTCTCAACTACAGGCGGAACTGACGAAGACATCAAAGTCAGAATCGGAAAAGCAAGACAAGCTTTCATTACTCTCAAATCTGTGTGGAGGTCAACAGCAATCAGCATCAAAAATAAGATCCGGATTTTCAACTCCAATGTGAAGTCAGTGCTACTATACGGATCAGAGACTTGGCCAGCGCGTCATAAAGAGCATCTCAAACAAACTTCAAACCTTCATTAACAACTGTCTCCGCTCAATACTCAAGATCAGATGGCCAGAAAAGATCAGCAACAGGGATCTATGGGAGCGAACCAATCAGGAACCGATTGTGAAACAAATAGGCAGAAAGAAATGGAGATGGATTGGCCATACGCTGAGGAAACCATCAAGTGACATCACTAGACAAGCCCTCGAGTGGAACCCGAAAGGGAGGCGGCGAGTTGGTCGTCCAAGGGCGACTTGGAGGAGGTCATGCGAGGAGGAGATGAAAGCATGTGGACAGACCTGGAGCAGGGTGAAAAAGTTGTCAGAAAACCGAAGTCAATGGAGGTGCGCAGCTGAAGCCCTATGTTCCTCTAGGAACTAAAGGATACAATAATAATATAATAATAATAATGAATATCATATACCCAATGCCCAAATTTTTTCAAACCGTTAAAAGTGAACTTGGTTTGGACATATATAGTCACGAACATGTGTTTAAAAACATCAGATTTGAACGATGGTGTATTGTAAGTGGTTTATTGTTCCACTGGAGTTTTGAAGCCTGAGTCTTGTAATCCTAACACGTTGTCTTATTTTAACCTGCAGTGCTATATTTATATCGCATCATGATATCTGACTTCTCGTTGATGCCCATATAATCTGATGATTACCCGTTAACTGGATTGACCAATAAAGCAATGCTGGCTGTTCTTGTAATCGATTTTGCAAGTTACGTTTTTTTGTTTCTTAAGACACCACACCCTCGAGTTTTTACGAGTTAATCTGTAGCGACTCGTATTCACAACCTCGCTAAATGGATAGAATAGCACGCTAAGATTTGCTCAGGTATCCTTAATGTGTAGTGTTATAATGCTCTCTGTTAGCTGAGGTTATTTATTGTTCATTTGACTTAGTTAAAAGTTACATACCTTACTAACTAGTGATTAATTTATTAAGTCTGATCATTCTAACCATAACTTTGGGAGGTATTGCCAGTTAAATTCTCAGTGAATAAGTGTTGATGTGACTGTAATTAAACGTGATAACTTTCCTTTCCATTTGACCTAAAGTTGTACACTCATACTGTCAAAATGCAGTCTGACAGCTCCACTTTTAAATCAACAAAATATGCACAATCGTATTTGTTCGTAGACTTTCAAATGTCAGAGGATTTTCAGTTACTAGGAATCACAGGAACAGAAAGAGGATGATATTATTATTTTCTCCTCATTAACACATACTTCTCAAAGAAAAACAGGAAGAGATAACAGCTTGCTATATTACAAACGAAAATCAGATTGCGAAAACAAGAGAAAATGAACTTTCTTCAGCACAATGAACTAAAACGTTAAGTAGGAGTAGCATTTAAAATTGCTTTCAACCTTCATCTTACTTTTTGGAATAAGTTAATGATAAGGAATCACTTTCGAATTCAGTATCCACAGGCTTAACTGCCTTGATAAAAGAAGATTGTAATCCACATTTTGAGTGGTTAATTTCATTTGAGGATGATAATTTAATATTATTAGCTTTTATAGTGGAAATTCGGCTGCTTTTACCAGTTGAAGGAACACAGTAGGTTAGTACTAAACAAATGTCTTCTATTTGCAGTTGTCTACATAACAAATGTTGTTGTTTCCATGTTAAATTTGGATCGACAGATGACCAGCCGTGTCCATACACGTAGAATGGATAATCATTTTTAACACTCAGTGCAAGTTTCGTATCCACCTAAAAATACGAAAAAAGATAATGTTAGTGTACTGTAGAGCAAACAAAGAGGATCTTCGAAAGATATTCATATACTATGCTACTGATTTCTAGAAGTTAAGACTCTTGCACAATATTTACCTGACCGTTGCAAAATAGGTAAAAAATGACACTGTTGAACAAAATAGGATGAACGGGTAAAACTAATATAAAGTTGTGGCTTTCCCGTTGAATATTAATGAGCATGGCAAATAAAGTAATGGTGCATTTAGCTTTAGGGCAAGAGGTGACATGATGTTATGTAGATTATAAAACTAATTATTCGATATATTAGTTCAGGATTTAAAATTTATTTAAAATGATAAAAGGTGTACTTATCTGAGAACGAGGAACCTCTCAGAAGTTATCCTTTATAAATATCTGTGTCCAAAGTTTCGGTTTCTTATTGTACTTTTGTAAAGAAACGCTTTTGACACTAACATTGTGGTAACCAGCATTGAGATGAAAGAAATGTGTTTAGTTTGTTGCATATACTCGATGTATTTGTATTCCCCACTGAAATTGTAGCCTCGTGTAGAAGTTTCAAAGATCAAAGTTTTGTTTTGCTATTCTTTAGGAGAGGTATGATCACTATCTGCTCAATAAATTTACGCTATTATTGGAGCTTAAAAATTGCTGACTATTGGGTGACAAATCATCTCTTTGTACATGTACTTTGTACCACTTCTTTCCATCAGGTTTTGGAATGATGCTTCTGTGATTTAGGTGGTAGATCTTTTCCTTTATTTTCTAGTTCTTACTGTGTGTTTTAGACTGAAGAATTTTGTGCAAATCGGCCAAATAAATGAAACTATTACACAGACCAGTGACACTTTATCCAAATGTGTTCGCCCCACAGACCCATTAATTCTTAAAAATTCTAGTCCTACTGTCTGGTCAAATGATGACAAAACTTATTTCCTGTTCACTTTTAGATGTATACATAAATAAAATGTTAGGATTTATTGGGGTTGAAAAAAGAACACAGTTTCAGTGTATGGTTTAATCAACAGTCAAACTGACTGGAGCTCTTACCACAGTGACCAAACTGTATTTTTGCACTAATGAAATTTGACTTAACACTTTCATGAATTATGACCAGTTACACTGTTTTTTTTAATAAAGAAGAAAAATTAGTGAGAAATCTTTTGAGACTTACAAGCTCAAATTGCAATATGCTCTTTGTCGGTACAAAATATTTCATTTTAGACATAATAATCGATAGGATGAGATCACTGTGAGGATTAAAAGCTTTACCAGATGCGAATAATTCTTGAACACCATTCCTTGTCGAAACCGTATTCACGTAATAAAGGTTACTTTGTAGTCAACGAATTATGACATAGTATAAAACCAGCGGTCCTCACTTCCATCCCTGGTGCAGTTTTGTATGCATGATGATGAAGAGTCACAAAAACAAGATAATGAACCTGTCTATTTTTCCTTGGACTTTAGTGGTTCTGTAGCTGACGTCGATTCATGACGAAATCCTCACTCATGTCGATCAAGTTCACAAAAACCTATGAAATTAATTCCACAATAATCTATAGAACACACATGACTTCAGTGAATATATAGGGACGTTTAATCGTTGGTTAGCCTGAAAGTGTTATATAATCATATAACTTAAAATGAAAATTCATTGAGGCGTATGCAATTTTACTAATAATTTTCACTATCAATGAATCCAAAAGATAATACACTGGAAACTGTACTTGCATATGCATATTGAATACCTCCATAAATTCATGTTTGTTAAATTCATACTTAGCTACTTTTTGATTAAAACAGTCAAAACTGTTTTATAATAAGTGGAATAGAGTTATACAAAAACGAATTTTCTTTATTAAATCATTTTTACTAACTTTGCGTTATCACATCTCATATTATATGCCCTTGGGGTAGATTAATCTTTGCTTTCTCTGAAACGTAATCCGTATTCTTCCCCATGGGATTTAAATTGGCCAAATATCAATACACTTGTAGAAATGACTATTAAAAAGGCAAATGCATTACTCCCTCTTAAATTTACCCACAAAAATAACCGAAAAAGATGCATATAACAAGTCGAGCAAACCTGAAGGAAAACAAGCACACAAACACTAACAACAAAAAATGTTACAACCTCAGAACAAAATAATCATCAATTGACCTATGGGGCACAAGTCATTATTTGAGAATGGAAGTAAATAATAAAAAAAATCTTTTTATTATCATACTGAAATGAGAAAAAAAGGAGAGGAAAGAGTTCCGCAGATTATCACTTTATAATTGATTTTAGGACATAGAATTAAAGACTTATCGAATAAAAACATTTAATAGGGAGAAGTATGCAGACGAAGGGAATTCGAGAGCTAACGAGGTAAAAGAAATCAGGGTAGTGAGTAAAACAAGTGGAATGGAAAAGTAGTTTTGTTTGGAAAACTAGTTATCTATAAAATAGATTAAATAAAAATCACTTTGTATGGTCACTTAGTGAGACATACATACACATCAGGACGAAAAATGTTAACACATACATGCGAAAAATGGAAATGAAGTTAACTTTACAACGAGTGTTTGTTAAGTACTTATACAACAGTGATATATACAATGAGATAAGGAAGATAGTATGCATAAATATATCAAATTAGTGGGTTTTGTGCGCACGAACTGTTTTAACGATTACGCAACTAGGGCTTACTGATTTCATTCTTATGAAGTAGATGAAATCTAAATTGGACCGGATAAAAATCCAAAACTGAGTCTCCCTTGAATTTTAAATAATTAGAAAAATTACCAGGAGATAGATTACACTGATGCTACTTTCAAATGGATATGTGAAGCTCAATCCATGTTTCTAATTATGTAAGCAATAGGGTAAATAAGTCGATAGTGGATTTAAACTCTAGCGTCAAACATTAATTCATGTTCATAATCAGTGTGCACATCCGAAGTTCATCTGAATAAAAGTTTAAAATTGCTGGAAGTGACATACAATAACTAACTTGTTCCTGACTTTTTAATCTAAGGAAAAGGGACATAATTACAAAATATAATCTAATATTTCAAAATGCCTTTAAGTCTCCAATCCTGAATAAATATTTGCCTGTCTACTAGACCTATGAGGATTACAGTATCTGCGACTACATAAGTATTCAGTTATTTAAAGACAAGATTAATTATAGAATCTTGTAATTAGTGTAACGATATAGATTATCTCGTCATTCTGACATAATTTTCTAATACAATGTATAGGAGATTTTGGTCTAAACACAGAAAATGACACAAAAATGTCAGAAAAAGACAAAAGATTCAATGAATATTTCAAATTTTAGGCTACCAGGAGTTTATTGGGTCTGAAGGTATACTTTGTCATGAATCAGTGTCAACTGGAAGACAGCTGGAGATTGTGGAGAAACACACAATTGTTTTACTGTGGTTTTTAACTCTTCACCGATATACATCCCTGAACTCAAGAGGAATGGAAACCATTTAGACTTATAATAGAAGTATTGGTTATAGTCTGATGTAGAAACTGTCTATTCTTGTATGTTTTTCGTGTAAAATTTACAGTTATCTTCTCAAAAAATGTCATGTAGTGCTAAGCCAAAAATTAAATGAGAACCGAATGAAATGATTTCGGTTTTACTTTGTGAATGTATTATTTTTGTAGTCTACGTATGCTTATCATACCTATTTATTACATATTTAGATTATGCAAATTTTAATGATTTGGTTTCATTTCAACGTAGATTGCATCGCAAACTAACATCATTTATTATATTATTATTGTTTCCTTTAGTTCCTAGATGGACATAGGGCTTCAGCCGCGCGTCTCCATTACGTTCGGTTCTCTTTCAACGTTTTCACCTGGCTCCACGTCTGCCCGCATGCTTTCATTTCCTCTAATATCATTAAGAGATTTTAAATTATATAAAATAATCCTATGTGTTTAAGAAAAAAGATTTTTCTGAACGTTTATAATGATTAAGTCTGACCCGATGCTCAAATTATTCCAGGAAATTCGTAACATCTGCGGCCTGGAAAGTCAGTAAGAGGTCACTTAAACCAGAGAACACTGGACAGCTGTTTCACTTTAATTTGGAACTATCTGACAGTGCACACCCACAACTCTGTCAGGGATCAGACCTGGGACATTCAGGTGGCGAAGCTAAGATTTCTGATCATCCACTCACTTCGGTCGGAATTCACTATCCTGAAAATTCTAACTTCTGCCAATTTGTGATATAGTTCCTTTGATGGGCACCCGCTTCACACTGACATAGTGGACGCCATTTGCCACGACCTCTCAATACAGATTCAGGACCACTCTCAAGTAGCCAACAATACGCTGGAGATTGATATCATCACTTATAAAACTTCTTAAGTAATTCTCAGAAGACTGGGTCTATGGAGTCACATAAGCACAAAGTATAAATATAACATAATGAGATATGATCATGGACATATAATTTGGCCTATAAATTCACATTTGACGATGAGACTATTCAGAGTAATCTTGAGTTGGTAATGAGTGATTGCTAAGGGTGAAATGGGAAATCTGGGTTGTGGAAGCATTTAAATCAGCCATCTGTGGATTACTAGCGTGTTATTGTATCAGTTGAACCACATGACCCTGAGTCTAACGACATTACCATTTCACTAGTTCTCATAGCTCAACCGGTGGAGCTCTGGCTGGTTCTATCCACACCGTAATCCAGACATTCACCCACTCAGTCATTCAACTATTAAAACATTTCAACTGTGATTAGTGTAATAATTTAATATTTAGTAACTTCAGTAACCATTTTCAAATTCGTCATGAGTCAGAAAACCTTTGCGACATACTATTACATGTCTACAATAACAGATTCATGGTGCATAATGCTTTCTTTACCAGAATTCAAAAGTTGATTTCAACATATCTGATGTTTTCAACTTTGAGTGCGATTTTAATTATTCACATATGTGTTATGAATAGTTATTTATCCCTACAAACAAACAATATGCACAACTTAATACAATGACTACTCTAGAAAAAAAATTATTCGGAATAAATAAATTAAGGATTATTATTATTTGTTTCTTCTCTTTTCTAAAATGATAATAAATATAATAAACTTTCTATTGTAAATTATTAGTAGAATTAATATACAGTGAAAATTAGAATAATAATAATGATAAATAAGGTTTTTGATAAGTGTTCATCTGTTTAACACACTCATTTGTTTCATTCTGAAAATAAGATGGGAAGTATAATTTATATCTGATTCTATGCTAGGAGGACAGCAAGGGGATGGTGGTGGTATACAATATGCATACAGATGCTTTAAAGCCTCATTTAGTTTCTGTTATCTTCCCATTTGTATGATTGTGACTACCCTATGCGATAGTTAGTTTGAAACTTCTTTCATACACCATGGTTTTTCTTTTGTGTTTCACTCTAATACACAAGACAGACTCAGAACAGCTTTGCGTTGGGAACAGTATATTTACATACATATGCATTATAAAATGAATATAAGAATCGGCATAATAATACTTTTTAGAAAGTGTATTGTGTATTCAAATTATCTTTTGAATAAGGCAATGTGACACCTAAAATGATGAACAATAGTTCAAATCATTTCTTTTCATCACAGTAGCTGTAGCAGAAATCAGAAAAGAGAAACAGAAACTACTGAAACTAATAGTCAGGAAGGAGAAATCTCTAGGAATATTGTTTAAACACATGGTTATTTCTCTTTAGAAGTGCTACTCGTGTTTACAACTTTCATGCGCCTGTTTCATAAAAACAATAACGTGTCAATAACTAGAAAATATGAAAAATTTTCTTTATAAGAGAACCAAATGTATGCCTGGGTTTCGGCAGTCTTGTTAATTTATCAACTTATACTACGCTTCCAGTACCTATGCATAACCTTTACTTCAATCAATCTGTTTTCTCAGTTAACTGTGTTAACAAACGTTATAAATTTCACCTGGCTTTTGGTCTTATGGTCATAATCAGATATATTAAAGTGAAAGTAAAAAAGCTTGCAAAGAAAAACCTTGAAAACTCTAATTGAACCGACGAAATTCGAACTTGAGACTCAGGAAAGTCCAACAGCGTTCGCATAAACACCTAATTGTGAATACCAATTCTTCTTGTGCATTTCTATAAAACAATAAGAAATGCATTTTATCTTGAATGTACAACAGAAATTCAGTCTTCTCATTTTCCTTCCGAAATCCTCTACAATAATAATCGGTGCTTTGATGTTTACGTTGCAGAGTTCAGTTAAATATTTCGGAAATTACTAATCACAGAAAACTTGAGGCAAAGAGCACCCCACACATCCTAATAAAAAGAATGTGCACATCATGCAGTCTCTTATTCATGAATACTGCACAACCCCAGAAATGAAGACTATTATTTGTCTCTTCTGTTCAGTGTGGAAGATAGGGCTCCACTAACACATCCCCATTGTATTATGTACTTTGCTTTATATTTTAGCCACCTTGGTGAATGCCCACAAGCTTCCATTTCCTCTTCAAATGATAACCTCCATGTTACCCCTAGACAACCATCCTCGCCTCACTTACTAGTTGGTCCTAAGTGCAGAAAAAGAAGGAAAGTTTAGCTAGCGACCCAACATCAGAAAAAGCAACTTCATTGTTACTGAAACTTCGAAATACAGAAATGAAGGCTATTGTGTTATAAAAACAAGAGTTTAAATTTAGGCTTGATAATGAGGAAGAACTTAGTAGCTTTTACTGATCTTCTAAATGATATCAGTTTGGGATACTGGTTACCTCATTACCAACCAAATAGCATCAATCTCGGTTACTGAATTATCTAAATTCTCACGCTTTCTTTCGATTTACCTTCAACTTCCATAATACTCCTTACTTTTCACACCATATTTCTACATTTTAATCAGATAGCAGATAAACTTCACAGTTTCGAGAATAGAAATAATAGTCATCTACATACTTCAGTAAAACATTTAAATGTGATATGACTACGTCAGAAATAATCACGGTAAGCTAGTCTTCACTGTGAACAGTTATTTAGTCTATTTCGGTTCACTATTATGCATAATACCAGTTTATATTATACAGCTAGTAAACTGTCCAAGTTTCATAGCGGGTACAGTGTTGATCGCAATAAACAAAACTAAAAAAAACCTGTCACATGTGACAAAAGTATTGCACAATATACCTAGTGGATATTGGACTTCAGCGTTGCTTAGAGTACTAAATAGTAATTAGTATACCGAAGTAGTTTACAGTTTACCAGCTAAGACTAAGTGATCTTCAAGAATGACCACCTAATCATCAAATCACGACTAACCATAATTGTCATTATATATATATATGTACAATTCGCTGTACGTAATTTTGACGAAGAATTCTGTCAAAAACTGAAAACAGAATCCTTTCCATCGCAAATTTACTTTCATAAAAGTGGAAATATTGCAGCTGAAATGTGTGCTTTCCGTGCAGAAGTCAACTATATCTACGTTCATTTTAACAAATGCATTTTTAGTTTCTATATGTATATGTATATTTATCTAGCTATCATGAAGCTGAAAAGCAAATAAAACAATAAGATAAAGTTATCTTATTTTGTAAGTGGAATTGTATTACTTTGCTTAGGTTCAATGAAGACACTAAATGTATGGATCCTCTATATAGCATAGAGGAACAAGAAAAGTATGCATTTAAGTGTTGCAAATGATGGACCATATCTACTGTATAACTTATGCATCAAGTAAAGTTTCGTCAGAATAAATAGACACATCATAACTACTGCCATACTAGTGATTGAATTGTCACTAGCCTTCCATTTTCGTTCGTTGTGCCAATGTATAGTCGGGAACTAGGCAAGACATTAAGATGCTAAAGTGACTGCAAAATTAAAGCACCTTTCATAAAATAATTGAATTTCTGACTGTCTTCATAGACAATACTGAAATCCAAATTTAGGCGAGATAACTTTAAATTAACTCATTTTTTTCGGATAACAAAACTGTTCTGATGGAAAGCAATACTGGTATCCCTAAATGCTTAGGTATATTAAACTTTAAAATGAGTCACTTAATAAAGTGGATACATTGTTGCATCTAGCCCAGCAACTGAATTATGCACCTGATTAACACATTTTGACCAAATATTTGGGACCAAAAAAGTTGTGACCAAGTACCATCGCATCATTCATGGATAATTCAAATAAATTCACTTTACATCGAAGTTTACTCTGAAGATTTTCATAATGTCAGTGAAAGCTTCTCAGTTAAATCACCTAGCTCAGGGAACATAGTAGGGCCACATATCCCGTATTTGATAACTGATCCGTGTATAATGGTGTATTTTGTATTTCACTTTTTGTAATCAAACAAGTAATGATTTCAGCCAACATAATATTGTCGAGAGAAAACTTCGAATTCTGCGAGAATTTTACTGCCTATACAAGGTGACTGATTAGTTATGTTTTATTGGAACGAAAAAAGAATTTTGCTATAGCAGGCCTGATTTACCGTATAGTCATGAAAAAAAGTTTGTAGAAGTTAGGCTTGTTCAAATAAGGTTATCACAATTACCGCATTATTCAGCACACTGAAAATAAAGCTTACTGGAAATCATTCGAATAATCGGTTTGAAGATAAAGAGTGACTTTAACTTAATTTCGTATTTTACCCTTTTTTCTTTCATAAGGGCAGTGAAAAAATCACCTAAAATGAATTCCAGTTGAAATCAGATAAAGTTTAGTGTAAAGAACGCGCTGATAATCGAAATCAAGGTGATTAGTAGTTTGTACAGTGAACTGCAGCCAATTTCTTTCGAGTTCTTGCCAAACATGTCGCGTTAAGTTATAACAGATTTTCTGCATGAAGTTCTACATGCATTCAAACTGTTCACAATTCAGATCAACAAGTGATGAAAACATTTACCGTAATAAATTAAATGTCAGCGAAATATAGAATTTGTTTAGAAGACAATATAATGGAAGTAGTTAATCTGTTTCTGCCTAGACCATTTTGAAATAAAACGGGAAGTTTAAGCTGTGGAATACAAAAGAAGTGATATGGTTGTGGGCTAGATGCTATAAAGCTGTCAGCTCAGTCAAATAACTTATGCTCAATTCATACTCAAAGTTCTTAAAACTGTAAGACACTTTAGATGCAACGAACAAAAAGAAACAAAAGAAGGATCCATACACTTCGCTAATCATTATAGTATAGGTACCACTTATAAATTTTTTACTAACACTATGTTACCTAATAATAATCTTAGTGCAATAAGCTACGCATGAAGTTGCGTTGCTGATATCCGTACCACTAAATCAGACATCCTCATTGGCGAAACATCCATTAATGTACATCGTCTTCTTTTCCCTAATTAGATGCTATTCTCAAGATTTTCGACTTCTAGCAGTTCCTCAGTCTATAACATTAGCCTTTAGATTTTTCATTTTGGTGTACGAAATTAACCCCTTTGGTAATCTAATGAACAATAAATAGTTCATCCTGTGAAGTAGAATTACTTACGCAATATCTTGGAAAAAATTATTAATAGGACAGAATAAAATAAGTGTAGGAAATCAGTGGTTGTATTTTTCCTCGGATGGAACAATTAAGTTATTAGAAACCATTAAAAAAGTCAGTACCACATATCAATATTCATTGAACTTACATTAAAACTTTTGGCATTAAAATGGGGCCATAGCATTCTGGAGGCTTGTTTACTGCCACTTTTTTCACTGATGCCAACTAGTAAATGATGACGCTTAGAGGAATGAATGAACACTAATTCACTTGATAAATTGCAGATATCATTCTCGAAATTTTCTTTTATTTGTGCCACTTTTACCCAACACATTTCCAGATTATTTGTACTAGCTAAAGCTTCAATTAATGCACCATTATTTTGCACGGAGTTATTCAAGTTATCATATTTTATGGCGCTGGCTATAAAGTCAGACACTGATAAATCGTCTCGAGTCTTTTTCTGTCCATTGACAAGACGTACACAGTTTTTTGAATCATTCTCTTTATAAAGTTTTAATTGTTCTGTAATTTTAAGATTATTACAGTTTTCTTGTTTATCATCATTATAGTTAACTGATGAGCACGATAAGTTCGTATTAGTTTTCTGATTTGATAGATTACTCCATGGACTGATGGGATTGAGTGTTACATTTTCATTTGAAAACATTTTGTCATGGAAAGTGGAACACTTTTTAGAGTGATTACTGAGAATTTTTCTTGAATTTGCCCCCATTGTACCACTTTCCACAAATGGATTGAATAAAGGGAACCCAAGTGAAGACGAAGACGATCGGGCTAGATTATTTAATTTGTTATGATGACTGCTTTTATGTGTTTTACAGTTTTTGTTATGTACAGTAATCATTTGACTCTTGTAATCTGGAATTGGACAGTTATCGTATAACTTAGATAACATTTTAACCGAAGTATAGCATTCCTTACCGTTGTTTACTAACGGGTGTTCTATATTTGAAGCGCAATTTCTAACTTCATCGTAGATACTACCTGTATCGTTTTGAAAATACGAATGATTTATCTGATTCTGAATATTTGAAAGGTTAAGATGGCCATTTAAACCACTAAACATGAAGTCATTCTCATCATTCTTATTATCTGAGGGTGCCGAATTCTTTAATAAACTTGTAAAAGTTTTGTAGATGCAGTCGATCACTGACATTTCTTGTGTGTATGCAGGATACAGTTCAGTTAGTTGGTTAATCCAGCTTACTGAAGATGGTACTTTTGTTGTAACTGATGATGTTGAAGATAATGGAAGTGGAAAAGAAGTGGGAATTTCATTTCGTTTCGATTGTTCAATAATACTTGGCAGTATGATATTATTCTTTAAGTAAGAGCTTAACAGATGATCGCAACCACTAGACTTCATCAGGCTTCTTATGTAACTGGTGGAATTTTGCATAAAGTTGACTAGCGATAAGTGATCATCCTCAAAATGACCTTGTCTAACTGGGTCTGTATATTTTAAGTTTAGTGAAGTGTTTGAATAGGTATTATAATTGCTAGTTGCATGTTCCAGTAGTTCGTCAAAACATGGGATGCTTTTATATTGATGCATTGACGCATTAATATGTGCTGCAACTGATGACGTTGGAGATGTTTTATGACTTTGTAGAAATGTCAAAAAGTTGACAAAATCATGATGATTGTGTTGACTTTGTGGGTGGTTTCTCAAATTCGGATCTAGATTATGTGGAGTCGTCTCCAAGTGACTATACTTTGGATATTCGTGCATTTTTTTGAGGACGAAAAATTTAAAAATGGAATATTATTTTAGTTTTCTGTTTTAGGAAAATGGTGACTTCTTTCCTGATGTAGAATCACTCAGAATTTGCAAATATCTAAATGAAAAACATTGAGAATATTTTTATCTGTAAGGGATAAAAGGGAATTTCGATTCAAGTATTTCAATAAAAGCAGTAACTTTCGAAATGAAATTACATTTGGATCCGATTTGAAATATTCCCCTACTTGTTACTTTGATATGTCGATGATCGCATTCACCGAGTAAAATGTTTCACCACAACAGCTAAATTATAAGAAATAAACAGTAGATGTCACAAAAGTTTTATACAGTTCAAACTCTGATTATGCTAAATGATACGAAATGTCTGTGTCTCTAGTACTTTTCATCATAAAGGGATTTCAATTGGACAAGTACTGGAAATTAGAAAAGCCATTCCAATATTTGATGCAATTGAGTGAGAAATATCAACACTCAGGTTTCAGATAAAGGATATTAGTCATGACAGAGAATTCAAGCTGTTCTGTTACTTTTAATAAATGTATAAGTCCAAGCCACAAAGTTTCCATTAAGCTATTTAAATTTATAGTTGTTTCAGAATAGGTTATGAAGATTTAATAAAGGATGGGACAGATGAGGATTTGTTTGCTGTGAAAAATTCTTTCTTCCGTTAGAAACGACTGATAAAAATATTATCTTAGTGTTGACAGTCATGCAATAGTTCTTAAGTTCTTTCAGTGTTTTGATTAGCTAGAAATTTATTTGTGAACTAATAATCAGCCACATTAGTCTCTGCTTATTTAATGACGAAGAATCCCATCTTATGGAATAGAACTGACTATTACGAATAAGTACCACATACAGGCCTACATCAACATGCATGCAATGCGTGTTTATATTTCAGAATCTTACATAAACATAATTCAGTGTTTACTTTGTGATTTTTATTGTTTTACACACAGAATTACGCACAAGATACAAAATCATTGGTCTCTATGTTTTCAAGATTGCAACAAATGCTACATTTGGGTTTAAACGGAGGAAAAATATTTATGTTGTACCTAAATAGGGATAAGAATCAAGTGAATATACCTCCTTGATGACATAGTTACATCAACGAAAACTACACAACAGTAATGATATTTCTGAGAAACGTCGTCACTTGTGTTTCCGGAATCTGGGGCGAAATATATTTTACATAACTCTCATAATAAGTGAAACAGTTAAATTAATAAAGGTAGTGTTAGCTGTCTTTAAAATAACTTGAAAAATTAGTAGGTGAGTTCCAGTTGCGTCTGTTCTTTTGGTAATTTTAGTACGCCACACAACACAATTATCCTAGCTCAGTAGATGAAAGCTAAGACTCTCGTCATCTGCTCAACGATAGAGGTGGAATTGTTATAATTCTAAGGTATAAGTAATGGTCATTTGGAATAATTTGGTCTGGTCATTTTAATTAACTGCAATTAACAAAAATAAGCTTGAGCGAGTTACTTAACGTTACTAGGTATGAACTCACGAATAAGAAGCATAACTTCGTCTGAAATATGAGTAATGATTAAAATAATTAAATATTCAAGTAGAAAATTATAGTTTTTTAAGTGTTGGTTTGTAGGGATTTGACTGGTTACAGGATTTCATCATGAGCTGATATTGGTTAGAGAAGTTAGAATTCATGGGCCATTGGATCGGGTCCCAGTGGCTTAATGGTATACGAGCTCGCCTTGTAGCCAGAAGGTCCTGGGTTCGAGCCCCGATGGTGTGTGAGTACTACTGAAGAGTCCCAAACTAGGAAGAAACGGCCGTCCAGTACTCCCAGGTTTTCCAATGGTTCTCTAACCAATGTCAGTTCATGATGAAACCTGAAAATTATAGTTAATTGGAATCAAGTAATAAGAGTAGTATTTGTGTAGTCTTGTAGAGTATAAATCCACAGTGGATAAGTGATCATCCTCCCCGTCCACTTAACTATATTATATTTTTTCAATACTTTCACTTTGTCCCACCCTGCTGTGTGATTACATGCAACTAAATGCATTGTAATGAATTATGGATAAGAATTAAATTTAGGTCTTACCAAATTATGATGAATAAATATTCAACATGCTGATGAGTGAACAAAAAATATTCTTTTGAACAAATTCAGTTTCTACCGTTACATATTCGTAATAGTAAAGGCGTCGATATCCAACTGCGTGTTAAGAATCAGTCATCATCATACTCTAATTGTCTTATCTTTCCTACTTGTTGACTCATATAACAAAGGTGTAACTCCAATCTTGAGAGAACCAATATACATTTCAAGCATCGAAGTTGCTACCTGTAGTGTCGAAGTTAGATATAATGACTAAGCTACTTAGGCCATCACACTTGATTTACAGGCTTTTGTTAACACACATACACACATTCTGATATCAACTATATACTTTTCCTCAGTGTATAACAAAATGCTCACCATCGAAATTTCTGTTAGAATCTATGGGCATTGTCTGTCATCGCAGAAATTGTATGTTTGCAAATAGGATATTACATCTCAAACACCAATAGACCTCTGTTATCTCATTAAGGACACCGAATACTGAATTTCTGATACATTCGCTCACAGAAAAGTGGCAGCATTTAAAACAACAAAACAGACTTGTTTTTAAAATCACCAGAAATAGTCTTATAAGTCGAATGGTATCCTACTGAATGACCCCTGACATTTAACACTTCTAATAGTCTACTGGTGACACTAGTTTAAGTTCATATATGAGTTTCTCAACATTTCATTTTTAAACCTTTTGATTAATTAGGACCCTTCAAAAAAGGAGCATTAAAACTGAAGGTACATAATTGAAGCTAGAGTGATGCGATTACCAAGTAATATTTGCATAGTAATAACCCAGAGTTCATAAAGCTAAGTAGAAAGACAAGACTGTACTTGGAGGAAAAGAGTAAGCAAAAATCCTTTTAAAGCAAAGCAAGAACCAGCAGCTGATATTGAAGCTTTCGAAAGAATTCAGATTTCCGGACCAGCACTTCCATGTCTTAACTAAACATTCACAAAGAGGGGTTATTCACCCTACCACTGCGTGACACTTTAATTAGCAGAAACTTCAGAACCTCTTGGAAAGTTAGCGGTGAAACATTCTTTAAAAGCTGCTTTAGAATTTGTTAATTCCAAAAATGAGACAGACGCATTTGAAGTGAGTATGGTTTCGTTTGATGTTGTCTCTCAGTTCACCAATTTTCATCTGATAGAACCAACGTGTTCTTACGTAAATTCACCTATTTAGATCTTTTCGATTTTAAATACTTACTAGTTATATACAGCAGCTAATACTAAGATTTATCCTAAACTTCCAGTTCCTATTTAGTGGTGAAATATAGGGACAGATGGATGCAGTAGCAATGGGAACTCCGCTTGCCCTGTTACTTCCTAACTGCTAAATAGCAAATCAGTTCAACATTTACACCTTAGGTGTTGATGAAAAATATAATCCTAGAACTATTTCACTATTCATCAGCTCATGAAGTTGAATTAAAAGGTAAACTCTCCTTGTAGAGGTCAAAATTTCGGGAAAAAACAGATGGGAAATTTCAAAGACTAACTTTTACGGCTTTGTTCCAACAAGTAGAAGGATAAACCTCATTAACTGCCTTCTTCAAAATTTGTTGCCCATGCACAGAAGACATATTAAACAGAAAATTCGAATCTTTCTGAAACACCCATTTCACAAATAAACATTTGAAACAAGAACGGACAATCCGTGCAACTCATAAATACAAAAGAAATTTCTGACAAACCTGTAATTCAGAGGCGACGTAATGGGTAAAATTCTTCGAAGGTGATTATCAAGAATTGTTTGAAAAACATTCATCGCTGAACTCTTGAGTCTTACTTTATTCACGCAATCTCATGTTCATAAAAAATGTCAAAGACGAAGTTCCACTGTTGGTAACATCTTTGTGTGTACATCATTTCAATTTCTGCTGTGGAGATAAACACGGAGATTATACTAAAAGGACATTATATAGATGCACTCATGAACGCCATTAATATCACTATCGAGAAGAAGAGATAAGCCGATTAGTGGCTCAGTTTTTGAATGCCTTGTTCTTCTGTGACATCCCGTGTAAACAGACAAGTTTTTCAGGTTACATGTAGTATGCGGTAACGTCAAGACCTATGAAAGGTTTCCACTTACATCTTCTGTTTAAAGACAAAACTCTTGTTATACACAAGGAAAACCGAGGACTCTGTATACAGATGCGTTTTATGAAACCCCTTTGAATACTGGGGCCTTAAACTACTTTCCACCAGTTTTATAATGATTTTCTATCCAATGCATTTGCATTTCCTTTATTAAACTACTAACTTTTCGAAAATTTCTACATATTCTGAAATTCTTCGTCTTGTACATAATATTACTATTTTCAGGTGTTTACTATTCTAGTAACCTTTCCTGGACGGTATTCACCACTTAGTGTTTTGTTTGTATAAGATTATTTTGCTACTTCTCACAGGTTTCACCATCTTTTTATATGCAGTTCAATGGGCTGGCATTCATACTTTACCTTTATTAGTATTTTCCATGACCATTCAGAAACAATTCCTGATTACACAACTCTGATGAGATGTTACAAACAGAGAACCCTCCTGAGACATTTATTTTTAATATAATAGTAATGTTTTGATATCACCGAAAATGTCTCAGCAAGTATGAAGTGTGGCGTAATGACATGATTTCTTCGCTGTGCGAAGTGCTTTTCTCTTGTTAACAAGTAGTATTCATAAGTCGAAGTTGGTAATCGATGACAGATGGTGAAGGGTGACCAACAGAAAGCTCCAGATAGTTGTCAACAAGGTATCTCTTAATCCTCAAAGGCAATGAAGTCACCTCAGAAATTAGAACTCATGTAGTACTACTATACTATATACTATACTACTACTACTATGCATCCTAAAACTGATTGAGCTAAATGTGATAGAATTGGTTTTTAATTATAATAATTAAAAAAACCTTAGTTCAGTGTTTTAAAAGTGAAAAGTATAAAGTATTTTAATGATAATAGCCTGGTTGAATACTGTAAGTGGCATTGTATTTATCGGTCTAATTTATTTTAGACCTTCTTAATGGCTAGTGATGTACATACAGGGAATTACAGATCAAAGTGGTGGAACCTAGTAATAATAACTAGGTAAGAAACCCAGTGGAAAAAGTACAATGATGCATCTATGTGCATAGATGAATGTAGTAGTATAGTCTAAATTATGGTATTCACAATGAAAATCAAAACAAGACACTAAATAGTAACAAATAGGTTCTGATTTTAGTCAGTTTACACTACGCTCAAAAAAAACTTTCATCTTATGTTTCATGATAATTACATATACAAAGAGCAACTCACATCAACAGTAGTAGGAAACGTAATTGACTGGAAAGCCGAGGAAATTAGCAAAAACAGCTAAATAACCACTTTTACTATAATCTTCCAGTTAGCGTCACACCACCCTTATTATTATTCCAGTTTCTCTAGGATATGTTGAAAGGGGTGAAATATTAGTAATAGTAATTGTAGTAGTATAGTTATATTCATTGGAATGCTATCTGGAAGAAACCACATAATACTTTTCTAAACATTTTTTCTGTCCTCCTACAAAACCTATCGGCTGCTAGTGTTTATCTTCCCCTATTCCCTCTTATTTTCTTCCTCATACACTTATTTGTCACTGTATGTGTGTGTTTTTATTTTCATATCGAAAATCAAAACAAGTGATTCAAACCAATCCTGTTACACAAAATCATATGTACCGTACACTTGTCATGACTTCTGCCACACAAGGTTACTACTACCACTTTCAAGTCTAGTAGAAATAAGCTAATGAGGGTGTGGAAATTGGAAACCCAGAAAGACATATATACAGAAAACTACACGAAGACATACATTACACACAATGATAGACGTAAACACACGTGCATACAATGCACGTGTATCTATGCTAATGGTTTTACAGTATAGAAAATAGTTTTGCCATAGATATATGTCATCACATCTTTTCTTGGTTTGAATGAATCTAAACACATAAGAATAATTTAGAAAAATAAATAAACTACTTATCACTTTTGAAGGCTGAAATAGTTCTATAGGTCTGAATTCCTCCTGATCAGCTGTAAAGTAAATTTTAATAGGTCCAATTCATGCTAGAACTTGCTCTGAAGATGTTGTCTAGAAGGACAACGAAACCATCATCACCAAAGTGCCAAAATCCTCAATAACAAAACATCTTGTGGATTACGGACATGATATCGACGCGGTCAAGTCATTCACCATTGTCAGCAAACAAAGAAACAAGAAGATGCTTGCAATTGCAGAGGCTTGTGCAATTCGAATTTATAAACCAGCTCTCTGTATACAAAAGGAGATGGTAGTGACTCTGAATCTACCATGGTAATACGTTTTACTTATTATTCTCTACTTGTTATTACTATTATTCTACCTCTTCTTCTTCTTCTTATTGTTATTATTATCATTATTATTATTCTTGATTCATCTAAAACTATGCTTTATCAGCAAGATTATCTTAACTCACTTCAACACTATTATTATTATAGCCATTACTATTGATATTAGTCTGTTTGCAATTCTCGTTATATTCCCTAATGGCTAACTGTTTATCTAAGTGATGTAATTGAAGGGTAATGCAACTTATCTTAATTTTGATCTCTCATACTCTCTCTCCGCTTATCTACTTGAAAATGACCTGTAAATTATTCGCACGTGTCTTTTGGCATGACTAATTCAATGTAGTTTGTTTACTTATCAGCCTTATATCTCCCAATGTAATTTTAAAAGTATATATATCCGTGTATGTAGAGTATTCAGCTGACGAGTTCTACCGAAATTTGATGAATTCATTAAATCTTGCTTTATTAACCTTTATTGCTTGTTTTAAATTTGTATCGGTAAATAAATGTTTTCAATTCGAAATCATTTCAGTTAAACCAACCGACTCAGAGAACACAAGTAAATCAAAATCACTCAGCTGAGCTGCAAATATTCTCTACTATTTCAAAATCTTACCGGGGTGGTACACTTCTATCTTGTCGAAAATGGGAGGACTTTATCAAAAGGCAAGTGTCCACAGAAGAACAATTATTTTTTCTTCATGACTGTCTCCACCAACAAATTCTACCAGCCAGTTTTAATTATAAACCATCAGTTAACTGTCATTTGGGATGGAAATTAGCCAAACAAAAAGAAGAATAAACGGGGTAATTAATGATTACTGATGCACACAATCGCATTAAAAAATACCAGCATATGATCTAATCTTAAAGATAAAAGGTTGAACGAACTCTCAGCCTAGAACATCAATCATCATTGAACAAAATATTAAGCGGACGACTCAAAGAATGAAGACGAGTTGTCCTCAAAGAAAGATTAGTTAAGATTTCTCAACAACCATCCAAAGAAACGCTGAATCATTATGCAGTAAACTTATTGAAACATTCATTATTAGAAACAGAACAATTTCTTAAGAAAGGGCTAAATTACAATAATGGTGATGCTTCAAAAACAGATTTCTAAACTTCCTTAGAACCATCAATCAAATCATCAAAATTAAATGAAGAAGTACAACAGGAAATAATAACACGAATAATAAAGCCGGAAAAACACAATACCCAACTTAACACTCAAGAGCAAAATGGATTGAAGAAACTGAAAAATAGAGAAGATATAGTCACAAAACTAGATGACAATGGAAGAACAATGGTAGTTACGGACACAGCGGACCACACGAAGAAATCAAATGATTTACTCAAAGATAATAATGTATATCAACAGTTGACGAAAAAACCTATACAAACATTGGATAATAAAATCAAAATAATACTAAATAGACTAAGAAAATCAAGACAGATTATAAAACAAGATCAGTGACGAATAAAATCTAACGGACCTGTTTTACCTTGGTTTTACGGTAGACCAAAACTACACAAACCAAACATTTCCTCACGATCAGTCTTTTCGCTACCATGAACACCAACATATATATAGTCTATCTAAAGAAATTCTCAGAAAATTAAAGTATATAATAGAATCATGCGACCAGTCTGTCAGTTCGCTAAACCTGTTTTTAGAGAAAATCAAAAGCATTCAAGTAGATGACAGTGAAATAATGGTATCCTTTGATGCCACAGTGTTACAGACTTTAATTGGTCCAAAACTAGCAGAAGACACTGTGCAACAACTACCCTATAGTGATAAACACACAAAAACGCAATGTTCAACTTGGATGGAACTCTTAGAATTATGTCTTACAACAAACTTCCAATTCAATACTCAAATATGTGAACAGATAAAAGGAATTGAAAACATTTATTTCCCGATACGAATTTAAAACAAGAAATAAAAGGAACAATAATGGGATCACACATATCAGGATTAACAATGGAAGTCGTTATGCAGAGATTAAAATTAATACCCCAAAGATTTGGGTACGTTATGTTGATGATATATTCGTAATAATTAAAAGGAATGAATTGGAATACACCCACAAAGTAATATACAACATATCTGAAGACACTAAATTCATGAGAGGAGAGGAATCAAACAACAAGATTCCATTATTAGATGTTTTAATCAAAAGAACTAATGCAGAAAACTTAGAAGTACAATTATACAGAAAATCAACGCACACTAACCAAATACTCAACTATAACAGCATTAACCCACTAACTCATAAAAAAACTATGTGTAGACAGTGATTAAAAAAGTCCAGACACACTGTATTAATGTGGCTGTGAAGAGAATGGAAGAGAAATACTTACTAACTGCCTTCAAAAAGAATGGACACCCACCCAATTTCATCAGAAAATGTTTAAACTAAAATCGTAATCCCATCAAGAAACCATCATCAAAGACCACATGAAAACTCATTCTACCATATGTACAGAATATTTCTGAAATAAACATTTGAAATAAACATAGCTCAGTCACTTCAGTCGATAGTCTGTAAAACGAAGGATCCAACAGGAAGAGAAGATAAAATTAGTTAGTAAATTAAGGTGCGTTGATATGATTATGAGCAATAAATTATGCTTGAAGCGTCATCAGCAGATATTACTGTATCCAGTACCCAATTTTTATCCTCATATCAAAATTAATACCAATTTCAAATTATAAATCGTATGAACTGCAGCAAACACTACATCGGTCAAAGTGGGCGTCCTCTTCGAATCCGATTCCAAGAACATTAATTAGGGGTGAAAAACACGATATGTATTCTTTCTTATCGATGCATGTAGACATTTACGAACACCAACATGATTGGCAGCATACAGAAGTTTCAAACAGAGGAAACACCAAAAGTACCTGGAAATTTCTAAAAGCCTGCTACTCAAATGAATCAGCGACGTGAACAGAGGAAGAACAACAGTTTGTGAAGAAAAAAGTGGTACCAGCATTCATATATACGTATAGTTTTTACTTAGGTATTTCAAGTTTCAACAATATCAGTGTATTTTGATTGGACACTAGTAACTAGTGCGACGTGTCTAGTCCTTTCTTTGGTGCAGAATGAATTCTATCAGTCAGGTTTGCAATGTGACCAACATTCTAAATAGCTCGCCATCAAGATGCACAGTAATTTGGTTATATTAGATAGTTGGAGGCCGGAATAGCTCAGTGGTAACGTCTCTGACTGTGGCACTGGGTGACGCGGGTTCGAATCTCAGAAGGGACATGAGTTCCTTCAAGGTTGCAGATGCACCTTGCTGACGAGTGCCAAGTAGCACGAAACCTAAGTCCAAGGATTCCTGCCAATTGCCTCCAACTACCTAATATCAGTGTATGCATACGAAGGTAAAGGAGTTACGGAATAAAGACTAGAGGTGAGTAAGATGATGAGTAACTAATAGATTGGATAACAGTTTACTGAGTTCAACCCAAATTATAGAAACAAGAGACAATCAAAACTACGTTATGTCAAAGGAGGCGATCAAGTGGAAGAGAGAGTAAAGACACCCAGTTACTAGGGCAAGGAAAGACTGACAACAGTTTGATTCTGAATACATAAGTCTGGTTGCAGGCGTTTGATAGGGATTGCTTTGACAAACTTGAGGAGGGTTAATTAATTAAATTTATTAATGTAAAAGGGTTTAGCAATTTCTACCTCGTGACCCGTATCAAGGAGATGTCTGGTAATAGCACTGTTGTAAGCGCTTGTTCACCTGAGACAGGTTTTTTCGGTACATGTTCTGAAAATCGGAGGTGGGCTCTACTTTCTGTTCTCCCAGTGTAACTGCTCCCGCAGATACACGTAAATTCGTATACACAGAACCAGAGATTAACAAATCTGAAGATGTTGTCTAGAACAACAACGAAAGCATCTCAGTTAAACCAAATGGCTCAGAGAACACAATTAAATCGAAATCATACACCTGAGCTACACGTATTCTCTATTATTTCAGCTGTAAGTCTATTACAAAGATAATTCGATTTTTCGTATTCTCCTGGTAGCATGTATGCTT